TCTGTTGATTTTGCTTGACTAAGCAACCAACTAAATAATTCATCTGCACATGTAGAATCTTGTGACAAACATTGCCATAATATGTCCACCTGTTCGAGACTTAGACGAAAACAATCAGGTGAACCTAAAGGTGAAAAAATAGAAGATAAAAATTGTAACCTAACTTGTATTTCCGTTTGATGAGAATATAAACTATTTTTTGGCCCTATACTAGTATACGTTTTCAGATTATTAAAGAAGTGTTTCATCATTCCACGTTCACGATCAGCCCATGTTGTTATTGTATGTGCATCCATTGCACCAAATTGTTGAAAACTGGCAAGTAACTTAGGTAATAATCTTAAAGATACAACTACAGAACGATTAGTTGCAAGATTTTCTAAACAACCTTCTATAAATTTCATAGGTATCAATCGATCAACATTGAAACAAAGAAGATTACACAAAGCTTTTTCAGCTTCCAAAGCTAAACCTTCTCCTAATTGACCAATTTTATCATCTTGCAAAAGATCCCATAATAAAGTATTTCCAGCTTTACATACAGTATCCAAGTTGAACTGAGAACTAACACGTGTTACTGTTTGGCGAATACTTCTTACTTGTGAAGGACGACAAACAGAGCGCCTGATCGTCATTGTTGGATGAGAATGATGAGGATGATAAGCTTGCATTTGTATAGCTGTTAAATGACGCGCAGCTAATTGAGCTAATTCTTCCTCGCAACCACTTTCCTCTCCATCAAAATCTGCCATATTTTTTTCACTTTTATTAGATATTCTACTACTATAGGATCCTTCTTCATCTGAAAGCATTTCGTCTAATCCTGAAGGTAAAAATGTAGGTCCAGTCGCATGTACTAAACCGGCAAGTTCTGATATAACAGCACCAGGTCCGTCTGCTGCTGCAAGAACACCAGCTACATCACTATCATCTTCATCGTGCGAAGTATCTGCAGAATCAGGAGCTCGATCTACATTATGTGCTACTAATGACATATATTTATTTTTATTAGCTCTTCTTAAAAGTGTTGCTGTTGTTGGAACTTGTTGATCATTTGGATCTAAAGCCATTGCTTGTTGTTTTACACGATCTAATGCATCAATATTTTTTGGATCATCAATAGAAACTAATCCACCAGTATCTAAAGTACTGTTTAAAACATCTTCTGGCCTATATTTCATATCTAACATTAAATCTTTAGTCTTTATGTTATTTTCTTCATTAACGATACCTTCTAATGTTTTATCTACAGTAACTAATGAACGTTTTTGAGGTTTTTTCCGTTTTCTTAATACTTTTTTCTTTCTTTTTTCAATCGCAACTGTTTCCTCTGTATTGGATTTTTCTGTATCTGCTTCTGCATCTGATCCACTCTGTTTTTCTTTTATGTCATCTTGTATATTACATGTAGAATCTTTTATCGATTCAGCAAAACATTCAGATTTTTCTATTGTAGGATCTTCTCCTTCATTTGAACTTGTTTGTACAATTGCTGTGCCCATACTTTTTGTTTTAAATGGACCTGTTAATATTTATATTATAAGTCATAATTTAAAGATAAAAATTTCAATTATACATGTAGCATACCTTCCCCATCACTACTATCACCTCTTGCTTGTTTTCGTGGTGATGGTCCTTCTGATGGTGCAGGACTAGGTTCTTCTTCATCCTCATCTGGACTGCTTCCATCTATTCCACTAGGATCACTAGTACTACTACCACCAATACCATTATTACCTCTTAAAATCTCTCTATTTTTTATAGATAAACCTCTTGGATAACCTGAACCACCTGCTGTCCAAATAAATTTTATCAAAGCAGATGCCAGGAATAAACTTTGTTCTGTATGATCTTTTGGCTCCAATTTTCCTAACAAAGAGTATAAATGTAAAACTGGAGTTGGAGCTAAATGTTTTACTAAGGGTGCCAATAAATCATATACTGGACGACCGCAGTGTTTCAATTGTGCAGCTTGCCACATAGTATCCATATCTGAACATGTAATTCTACCTTCCATAGCTAAGAAACTTAGTACAATATGACTTTGTTTAATAACCTCTACATGCAAATTTGGTCCAAATATATGAGCTATTATATTATTTTCTGTTAACCAAGCTGCCAATGCATGGCCCACTTGTTCCACTTCAGCGACAGTTTCACTATTGCAAAGTTCATTGAATGCAGTGATATGAGCATTTATCTGAGCTATTCCTGCTAATCTCATTGTTAAAGTTGTACTAGTAAAATATTTAAATGCTAAATCCAATCCATCACGATCAAAACTTGGTAAAACAGCATCAATAGGATCTTTTACTGCACTCCACATGAAATCTAAGAATAAAAAACTATTAATTCACAATTGAAAATTAATATAATTAAATATTAAATTGTTATGAAAATTAAATTGTTTTAATTTTATTTATTTCAAAATTTACCTGCCATTGTTCTAACTGCTGGTGTGCGTAATTCTTTATCTGCTAAGCGACACATATATTTCATAACACGACTGCGTAATGGTATAAAGAGCTGAATAACACTACCATAATTCAACCAAAGTTTTAAATTACAAATCACTGCAACCATTGAATGAGCAAGACTAACAGGTAATGTATTTTCCATATCAAAACAAGCAGACATTAAATTGAAACCACCTTGATGACAAAATATAGAAACTGCTCTAATTAAAGGAGCTGGCACTTCTGGGTCATGAGGTTCACAATATCCTCCTTCATCCTTCAAAATAATGAAAAAGTAATGTATAAATATATAATATATTTAACAAATTTATAAATTTAAACAAATTTATTTAACTTTATTTATAATATATTATTACTTTTACTGGAGCTAATGGATTAATTGCACCACTATGTTTCATTGCAATATACAGAGGAAAATTTAATAAAAATATTTTTGAAAGAAGATGGAATAATTTTTCTCTATCTTGTTGAGACCAGTTTTGTTTTGTTTGTGTTTCTATTTGTGCAAAATCAGAATTTTCTATTTTATTTTCATCTATTTTTTCTTCTTCTTTTTCATCTTTGGATAATACTTTTGTTTGTTGACCATTTTGTTGTATAATTTGTAATTGTTGTAATGTACATAATACAACACTTTGTGTTAGTCTTATAAATCGATCAAAATTTTTTATTTCTCGATAACAACACATGCATTGCCTATAAAAATAAATGAAAAGAAATTTTTAAAATAGAAATAATACAATTATATTAAAAATTTAATATATATATAGTTTATATAAAAGTTTATATAAAATTTACATAAAAAACAAAAATGAAATCAGACCTTTGAACCCATTGATTAACATAATGTAATGTTGTATCCACATCCGAAATACAAAGTGATGCCAATCCATCTTGTTCCTTTGATGATCTTTCATCATCTAAATATAAATTATAAGTTAAAATAAACAATATAAAAATTTAATAAATAAAATTTTATAAGCAAAATCAATTTAAGAAAACATTTTTATATTACTATTATTATTTTTTTTTATATCAAATATTTAATCCTAATTTTAATAATAATTATGATTTTTGTAAAATATAACTTATTTAAATATTTTATTATTTTATATTTAATATATGAAATATATTCGTGCATTAGACTTTAAAATCATATATAAACGATGAGGTTATATATATTATAATGTTATAAACGAAATTTTATAGTATAAAGTTAAATATAATTACAAAAATAATTTTTACAGTAATTTTTTTTCTAAATTATTTATATTAAAATATTAAATGATGATATAAAATAAAAATTTATAACATGTTCGACAGTACAATAGGTTAATGTGAAAATATTGTGCATTTTTGCTTACAGGAGAGCAGAAGATCGTGAAAGTCAACACATACATCGCACATGGTTTTCTTCCCTTTAGCCTCTGAAAGGCTTTTAATCACGTTAAGTTCATCACTCAACTTCACCACCATCCATTGCAAAAGTTGGTAATATTATTAAACATTTGTATTCTTGATTATCCTCAACACTTGATTAATTCGTTAGTCACCATATTGCTTTTTTACGCAGCTGCGTTCACTTGCCGCTTACTTCAGATGAGCAGCAATAAATAGCTTTCTATTTTTTTGTAAATCTTTTGTATTTACAAAAAAGTAATATAATAACGTAAAACTATTTCACTTTATTATTATTTATAGTTTACAAATATATCTTATTTAAATAATTTTTAAAAAATTTAATCTTATGCTTATCAATATGAATGTCATTATGACAGAAGACAGCTGATCGTCGCCATATTTTATTGAAGTAATATGATATATAAATTATTGTATCAGTACTTCAAACTAAACTACTATTAATAATATAAAAATCAAAAATTTATTTTTTTTATGTACATAAGCGATAAAATTAAATATTAATTAAATTTTATTTTTTTAACTTAAATATTTGTTTAATTATTTAATTATAGATTTGATTATTTAAAATATATAATTTATTTATAATTTATAATATTAATAAAAATTATAATATACTATATATATATTACTAAATATATAAATCTTTCAAAAAATTAT